ATGACCCCCCACTTAATATCTACCAATATTCATTATATATTTGTAAACTATTTCACAATTATTGCTTTGAATAAAATATGCAACGCGTGGGATGGTATGATGTATTTATAGCTAAAATTTAGATTAGAAGTCAAGTGTTATACAAAAATATTCCATTTCAAATGTGTGGGATCAATTTCAGAATAATTCGGAAAACAGATCCCCCACGTAATATCAGTATCATTATTTATTTTATATTCTTAAATGATTTCCCAATTATTGGCTGCAATAAAATTTGAAATGCCTTTGTTGCTATCATGCAATTTTAACTAGAAATTTGATTAGAAATCAAGCATTTTATAGAAATAAACCCATTTCAAAAGCTGGGGATAAGTTAGAAGATTTGGAGAAAAAATATCCCAAACTTAATATTAGTAACATGATATATTATGTATTCGGGACTTATTTCCCAAATATTGCTTTGAATAATATTTGAAATGCCTGTGTTGCTATCATGTATTTATAAGTACAGATTTGATTAGAAATCATGCTTTTTATAAAAAATATTCCCCTTTTCAAAAATAGGGGATTAGTTTCAGAATGTGTTGCAAAAAATTGAAGTAACCGTGCTGATATGATGTAATTACAAGAACAATTTTGATTAGAAATCAAGAGTTGTATAAACATATATCTATACCATAAGTGGCGGAACAGTTTCCCGATTCTGCACCAAAAAAGTGATACCCCACTAAATATCTGTATCAATATTTATTATAAATTCGCGACTTATTTCCCAGTTAGTTCCTTGAATAAAATTTGAAACGACTGTTGCTGTCATGTATTTAGAAGTACAATTTTGATTAGAAATCACGCGTTTTATAAAATATTCCCATTTCAAAAGAAGGGGGATCAGTTTTTTTTATTCGTTATATATTCGTAACTTATTTCCCAATAATTTATTCTTAATAATTGCATAATTTTTGACTTGAATTATGTTTCTATCTGTTATTTCTAAGTAATATTTTGTTTTCATATCAAGAGGTATTCAACCATAATCTCATCCCAAAAACGGGAGATGAGCTTCGCAATCATCAGGTAAAATAGATTCTCCATATAATATCAATATCCTTCTTCATAATATATTTTGAACTTATTACATAATTATTGACTTGTATTAAATTTAAAATGATTGTTTTGCTCTAATGTATTTCTAAGTACAAATTTGATTACAAGTCAAGAGGCGTTCCTGAATAATCCAAGGTTAAAAATAACAGATCTTTTTCACAATCTTTTGGAGAAAAGTTATACCCCACTTAATATTATTTTTCATAATATATTGCTGACTTTATTTATAATTGTTGAATTAAATTTGGAACGACTGAGTTGCTATCTAACTAAAATTTTATTTACAAGTCAAAGCGTGTTCATGAATATTCCCAGCTCGAAAGTGTTGGATCAGTTTCAGGATGTCTTGGGAAAATGTGATTCCCCAAATAATATCAATATCCTTCTTCATATTTTATTCCTAACTTATTATATAATTACTGATTGATTTTAATTTGAATCTAACTTATTATAAAGCGTGTTTCATTAAGACGGATTATATATAAAGATGTTTCATTAAGACGGATCAAAGTCAGAAGTGTTTTTTTCAATAAATTTAGTGTTATTGGCTGGAGTAGGTTTATTTATTTCTCTTTATATTTGTTCATAACAATAGACTTGCCCACTGTTTTTATTAAGTCACCCGGTGAGTATTATTATTTTTGCTTACGGTCAAAAATAAACACCGGTTCTCAAATCGATCACCGAAGTTAACATCATAGAGCCAAAAGAAAAAAATCATTAAGCCCGCCAAAGTCCAACCCTTACCTCACGTTGAAATGAATTTTCGAGTTGAAATTAATTCTGCAAATTTCCTAACACATGAGTTCCATGTAATTGAGAACATCGAGTGACCTTAGCAACAAAAATTTAAAAATTACACTATATATATACGGATAGAACAACACTATACAACAGTAGACCAACTAGTAAAAGCTAAATCACATTATTGTTGTAATCTAGGAAGGTTATTGAATATTTATTTAATTTTTCAAGAACAACATATATAAGATTCACTAGCGGATATGTAAAAGAAACAATCAACTATTAGAAGTGAGTCAAATGAAATACGTTTGAATTTAACTGCAGATCAACATACAGTATTTACTAAAATTTATAATAGGGACATCCATTATCATCCAAAGTATCCGCCAATTATACATAAGCTATAAAAAAAATCAGGTTTTTCACAAAAATATTTATGGGTCACACTATACATGAAATAGACTTATACATGAATATACATGGTACGTACAAACTAATGCTATAAAATGAACCCACAATGGTAGTCATACTAATATTACTCAGAAGCTGAGGTTGCATAATACAGAAGCTATATGAAAAAAAACTCAAGCTTTTCACAAAAATATTCATGGGTCACACGAGTAGACTTATACACGATTATATACGGTACATGTTTTCAAGTCTAGAATAATATATAAAATTTAATATGGCATTAAGTGGGAGATCTGTTTATGAATCGATTGTAAAGAAAAATCACCCCCCACTTAAGATGAACAAGTCTCTTAATTAAATATTAATGATCTACAGGCACGGTTGGCTATTTGGGCGAGAAATAGTAATTTGACTTTCATTTGAAAGCCCAAAACTACTAAATTTAGAATGAATTTTCTTCTCATTAGTCGCCCAAGTTAGATCAGCTTATTTTCGGACATAGAACAAAAAGTTGCAAGTAGCGATATTCAAATTTTAATACGTCTGGTCTTTTAGATGCCAACCAGCCTGGCAACTTTGCCTAAAAATATGTTCTCCCGTAGAGAAATATATGGAAGCTAATATAACAAAAAAGTGACTTGGTAGCAAGAGAAAAAACGATCTCCTAGTATCCATTTGTTTGTTAATCAAATATTTATGATCTACAAGAATGGTAAAAAGTTTGTCATCCCATGAAGAAAGGACTAAACATCAACTGTAAGAAGACAGAATTTATGATTGGCACCAAGAAAAAAAATGAAGATTCTAACTTAAAATTGGAGATATCAGACAAATATATAATCTAAAATATCTGAGAAATATTCTAAAAGAAGATGAAAAATGCCATACCGAAATGAGAATACGTATTTGAATAGAAAATGATGCCTTCGAAAGAACTAAGAAAGGTCAATCATGGTTGGTGTGATAGAATCATGAAAGCCCGAACTAACTCACCTGATTAAAAAAAATAAAAATAAAAGCTTCAAAATAGATTTTTCATTTAAAAAAATTCATTTTAAAACTTTAGGTATCGCGTTTCTGTGACGTAATGGTGGAGTAATGGATAGCACGTCCTTTGTCTTCTAAACAAAATTTTCGATAGAAATTCCTGATTAACACAGGCATTTCATTTCAAAAAATGGCTCAGTTTTGTGATTCAATATATTATGAAGAATGATATTGACATTAATTACTGGATCACTTTTGGGCTGGAAATCTTCTATTATCTTTCTTAATTTGTAAACAAAAATTGTAGTTAGAATTTTATGTTAGCATCAGCAACATCAATTCTTTATAACTTTATTTATCGGAGGTACAATGGATTGAGCAATCAGAGATCCGAGTTCGAATTCCAGTCAATCCATAATTCTTTACCTGCTAATACCCCTTAGGAAAGATATTATTATTTTTTCTTTACGGGTAAAATAGCAGTACAGAGCGAAGTACAGAGCGGTTCTCGTGGCATCTGGTCTACCCCAGAAAGAAATGTCAACCTATCAAAAAATCTGCCAGGTCAATCATGTTTGAAAGATAGATGATCGCTTGGGTGTATCACCATGGCACTAACTGACTATATTCACTTACATGCTCAAAAAGGTATGAATTTTCTTACCTCACCGTTGAAATGAATTCCGGGTTTTATAGCCTTGAAATTAAGATTCTCGTCAGTCATGTATCGAAAGATTTCCTAACACATGTATCACGCATGGCACATTCTGAATACAAGTCTTACTAATTAACCCATAGCTGAGCAAAGCATTCGCATTTAATCCTGATTTGATAAACAAACAAGAAAATTTAAAGCGAATGTCGGGGATTAATTCCGTATTATAATCAATATGTAAATTGATCCCTCACATGTCGTATCTAGGTATGAATCACTATACAACAGCTAGGTAAATAGCAGGACAGACTGGGCTCTGTACCTTGGCAACTCGTATACCGCAGAAAGAAATGGGGGTCAAAAAAAACATTATTTCGTCGGTCGAAATATAGATCGCCTAAGCGTTATTGCATGGCATAACTAATGATCCTGTATCATCTCAGAATGTCATACCGGGGCCCTGAGGATGTCGGTGGGTGCGTTGACATGAACAGGATGTAAAGCCAGTTGAACTTACGTGAAACGGTAAACAGGAAGTTATATAAACCTCCAACTCTCAACGAGTAGAGCAGTATTCCTAAAAGCGAAACAAAAGTCAAACCACATAACCTGCTAGACATTAATTTGAAAGAGTTCAAAATGAAACTTTACGCAATGAATTTCTATGTAGTTGTGTCCTGATCACCGCATCATACAGTTATTTTTTTTTTTTTGTGACCATATTTGTTCCAGGACATACCCATTATCATCCATAAGTATGTTGCAACAATTATACATGAAATCAAATCAGCCGACTTTTCACTAGTTGTAAGTTTTTATTTTCTATTACTAAACAGCCGAAAGCATATAGTTTGTATTAGCTACTTTTATAGTCCCCATAAGAAAATTTGACTTTGTCATGACGGAGGAATATTCCCTATCCTGGCAGGTGCAGACGTGTTCGTTAGAGACGAAGATTCGCACTAATGATTTTAGAGGAGAAAATCCTATTTTACCAGAAAATCTAGCGTTCTCGTTAGTTGCTGGTTCGTCAATTCACGAACGAACGAAAGAAAGAAAGAAAGAAAGAAAAAAATTCAGGTAAAGGAAAAAGATTGCTTTATTTGATGAAAAGAAAGAGACAATAAACTGACGAAAGAAAGAAAGAGAGAAAGAGAGAAATAAAAAAAATAAAGAATTCAGAAGAAAGGACGACAGAGAAGGAAATCAGAAGGAACTCAAACAAAAGAAAGAAGAAAGAACGAAAGAAAGAAAAAAAGAAAAAAGAAAGAAACTTAAAGTAATTCATTATAAGGAAAAGTGGAAAAAGAAAGAGTCAGGAGAAAGAATGGAAGAACGAACGAACGGAAGAAAGAAAGAAAAAGAAAGAAAAAAAAGAAGGAAAGAAAAAAGAAAGAAAGAATTCAGATAAAGGAAAAAAGATTGCTTTAATTGAAAGAGAGGAAGAGACAAGGAACGTAGAAAGAAAGAAAGAAAGAAAGAAAGAAAGAAAGAAAGAAAGTTTATGAATCGAAAGAAAAAAGAAAGAAAGAAAAGAAAGAAAGAGAAAAGAAAGAAAGAGAAAGAAAGAAAAAAAAAAAGAAAGAAAGAAAGAAAGAAAGAAAAAGAAGAGCAAGGTTGAAAGAGATTTGAAAAGAAATAAGAAAGAAAGAAAGAGATTTGAAAGAGAGAAAGAAAGACTAAAAGAAAGAAAGAAAGAAAGAAAGAAATTAGTCGAAAGAAAGAAAGAAAGAGAGAAAGAAAGAGAAAAGAAATAAAGAAAGAAAGAAAAAAGAAAGAGAGAAAGAAATTCAAAAAAGAAAGAGAGAAAGAAAGAGAAAGGTCTTTTAAAGAAAGAAAGAAAGAGAGAAAGGCAAGAGAGAAAGAAAGAAAGAAAGAGAGAAAGAAAGAAAGAAAGAAAAAAAGAAAGAAAAAATAACAAAAGAAAGAAAGAAAGAAAGAAAGAAAGAAAGAAGAAAAAATATAAAGAATCTCCTAGTATCCATTTGTTTGAAGGAATCAAAAAAAGGAAGATCTACAAAGAAAGATAAAAAGAAAGAAAAACAAAAGAAAAGGTAAAGAGGTGGAAAAGAAAGAAAGAGAAAGAAAGGAAACAACGAATGAAAGAAAGAAAGAAAGAAAGAAAGAAAGAAAGAAAGAAAAAAAAAGAAAGAAGAAAAAATATAAAGAATTAAAGAAAGGACAGCTATCAGAAGGAAAAAAATAAAGAACGAAAAAAGATAAAAAAGAAAGAGAAATATTCTAAAGAGAAAAGAAAGAAAAAAGAAAGGAAACGAATGAATGAAAGAAAGAAAGAAAGAAAGAAAGAAAGAAAGAAAGAAAGAAAAAGAAAAAATATAAAGAATTCAGAAGAAAGGACCTTCGCAGAAGGAATTCTAAAAAAGGAAGGTAGGAAGAACGAAAGAAAGATAAAAAAGAAAGAAACAAAGAAATTCATTGTAATGAGAGGTGGAAAAAGAAAGCGTCAAGAGAAAAAAAGGAAACGAACTCCATGAAAGAAAGAAAGAAAGAAAGAAAAGAAAGAAAGAAGAAAAAATAAAAGAATTCAGAAAAAGGACAGCTAGAGGAGAGCAGAAGGAATTTTCAAAAAAAGGGAAAAACGAAAGAAAGATCAAAAAGAAAGAAACAAAGAAATTTTGTAAAGGGAAAAAAAGAAAGCGTAAGGAGAGGAAACGAACGAATGAAAGAAAGAAAGAAAAGAAAGAAAGGAAAGAAAAGGAAAGAAAGAAAGAAAGAAGAAAAAATATAAAGAATTCAGAAGAAAGGACAGCTGAAAGAGCAGAAGGAATTCAAAAAAGGAAGGTAGGAAGAACGAAAGAAAGATAAAAAAGAAAGAAAACAAAGAAATTCATTTAATGAGAGGTGGAAAAGAAAAGCGTCAAGAGAAAGAAAGGAAACGAACGAATCAAAGAAAGAAAGAAAGAAAGAAAGAAAGAAAGAAATTAAAAGAATTCAGAAGAAAGGACAGCTGGATCAGAAGGAATTCAAAAAAAGGAAGGTAGGAAGAACGAAAGAAAGATAAAAAAAAAGAAACAAAGAAATTTCTTGTAATGAGAGGTGGAAAAAGAAAGCGTCAAAGAAAGAAAGGAAACGAACGAATGAAATTAAGAAAGAAAGAAAGAAAGAAAGAAAGAAAGAAAGAAAGAAAGAAAAAAAATAAAAGAATTCAAGAAAGGACATTGAGTAGGAGAGCAGAAGGAATTCAAAAAAGGAAGGTAGGAAGAACGAAAGAAAGATAAAAAAAGAAAGAAACAAAGAAATTCATTGTAATGAGAGGTGGAAAAGAAAGCGTCAAGAGAAAGAAAGGAAACGAACAATGAAAGAAAGAAAGAAAGAAAGAAAGAAAGAAAGAAAAGAAAGAAAGAAGAATCCATATAAAGAATTCAAGAAAGGACAGCTGAGTAGGGAGAGCAGAAGGAATTCAAAAAAAGGAAGGTAGGAAGAACGAAAGAAAGATAAAAAAAGAAAGAAACAAAGAAATTCATTGTAATGAGAGGTGGAAAAAGAAAGCGTCAAGAGAAAGAAAGGAAACGAACGAATGAAAGAAAGAAAGAAAGAAAGAAAGAAAGAAAGAAAGAAAGAAAGAAGAAAAAATATAAAGAATTCAGAAGAAAGGACAGCTGAGTAGGAGAGCAGAAGGAATTCAAAAAAAGGAAGGTAGGAAGAACGAAAGAAAGATAAAAAAAGAAAGAAACAAAGAAATTCATTGTAATGAGAGGTGGAAAAGAAAGCGTCAAGAGAAAAAGAAAGGAAAACGAACGAATGAAAGAAAGAAAGAAAGAAAGAAAGAAAAAGAGAAAGAAAGAAAGAAAGAAAGAAAGAGAGAAAGAAAAGAAAGAAGAAAAGAAAGAAAGAAAAGAAAGAAAGAAAGAAAGAAAGAAAGAAAAGAAAGAAAGAAAGAAAGAAAAAGAAAGAAAGAAAGAAAGAAAGAAAGAAAGAAAGAAAGAAAGAAAAAAAAAAGAAAGAAAGAAAGAAAGAAAGAAAGAGAGAAAGAAAGAAAGAAAAGAAAGAGAGAAAATAAAGAAAGAAAGAAAGAAAAGAAAGAAAGAAAGAAAGAAAGAAAAAAGAAAAAATATAAAGAATTCCCCAAAGGACAGCTGAGGAGAAAAGAGAATTCAAAAGGAATTCAAAAAAAAGAAGGTAGGAAGAACGAAAGAAAGATAAAAAAAGAAAGAAACAAAGAAATTCATTTAATGGAGAGGTGAAAAAGAAAAAAAGAGAAAGAAAGGAAACGAACTTTGAAAGAAAGAAAGAAAGAAAAAGAAAGAAAGAAAGAAAGAAAGAAATAAAGAAGAAAAATATAAAGAATTCAAAGAAAGGACAGCTTCCTCGTCATTCAAAAAAGGAAGGTATCGAAAGAAAGATAAAAAAGAAAGAAACAAAGAAATTGTAATGAGAGGTGGAAAAGAAAGGCCAAGAAAAGAAAGGAAACGAACGAATGAAAAGAAAGAAAGAAAGAAAGAAAAAAGAAAAGAAAGAAAGAAAGAAAGAAAAAATATGAATTCGAAGAAAGGACAATTAAGAGCAGATTTGAAGAACGAAAGAAAAAAAGAAAGAAACAAAGAAAATTTAATGCGAGGTGGAAAAAGAAAGCGTCAAGAGAAAGAAAATGAAACGAACGAATGAAAGAAAGAAAGAAAGAAAGAAAGAAAGAAAAAAAGAAAAGAAAGAAAGAAAGAAGAAAAATTAAAGAATTCCAGTGATTAGAAGGAATAAAAAAAAAAGGAAGGTAGGAAGAATTCGAAAAAAAAGATAAAAAAGAAAAGAAACAAAGAAATTTTGTAAAAACCAAAAGAAAGGCCAAGAGAAAGAAAGGAAACGAACGAATGAAAGAAAGAAAGAAAGAAAAAGAAAGAAAGAAAGAAAAAGAAGAAAAAAAAATAAAAGAATTTCTTCTCCAGGCCAGCTATAGAGCAGAAGGAATTCAAAAAAGGAAGGTAGGAAGAACAAAGAAAGATAAAAAAAAGAAAGAAAACAAAGAAATTCATTGTAATGAGAAAAAAGAAAGCCGCAGAAAGAAAGGAAACCTACGAATGAAAAAAAAAGAAAGAAAGAAAAGAAAGAAAAGAAAGAAAGAAGAAAAATATAAAGAATTAAGAAGAAAGGACAGCTGAGTAGGAGAGCAGAAGGAATTCAAAAAAAAAGAAGGTAGGAAGAACGAAAGAAAAGATAAAAAATCAAGAAACAAAGAAATGTCATTGTAATGAGAGGAAAGAAAAGAAAGGTCAAGAGAAAGAAAAGGAAAGAACGAATGAAAGAAAGAAAGAAAGAAAAGAAAGAAAGAAAGAAAGAAGAAAAAATAAAAGAATTCAGAAGAAAGGAAGCTTACGAGAAGAAGGAATAAAAAAGGAAGGTATAGAAAAAGAAAGAAAGAAAAAAAGAAAGAAACAAAGAAATTCATTGTAATGAGAGGTGAAAAAAGAAAGGAAAGCAAGAAGTTTGAAAGAAACGAACGAATGAAAGAAAGAAAGAAAGAAACCTCCTCGAAAGTTGAAAGAAAAGAAAAAATTAAAAGAATTCAGAAAAAGGACAGCTGAGTAGGAGAGCAGAAGGAAATGAAAAAGGAAGTACTTTAACGAAAGAAAGAAAAAAGAAAGAAACAAAGAAATTAGTCTAGAGGGAAAATGTAGAGAAAGAAAGGAAACGAACGAATCAAAAGAAAGAAAGAAAGAAAGAAAGAAAAGAAAGAAGAAAAATTAAAGAATTTTTTTTTTTTTTTTTTTGAGTAGGAGAGCAGAAGGAATTCAAAAAAAGGAAGGTTCCGAAAGAAAGATAAAAAAGAAAGAAACAAAGAAATTCATTGTAATGAGAGGTGGAAAAGAAAAAGCGTCAAGAGAAAGAAAGGAAACGAACGAATGAAAGAAAGAAAGAAAGAAAGAAAGAAAGAAAGAAAAGAAAGAAAGAAAAGAAAGAAAGAAGAAAAATAAAAGAATTCAGAAGAAAGGACAGCTGAGTAGGAGAGCAGAAGGAATTAAAAAAAGGAAGGTGGAAGAACGAAAGAAAGAAAAAAAGAAAGAAACAAAGAAATTCATTCAATGAGAGGTGGAAAAGAAAAAGTAGAGAAAGAAAGGAAACGAACGAATACTAAAGAAAGAAAGAAAGAAAGAAAGAAAGAAAGAAAGAAAGAAAGAAAGAAAGAAAAAAATATAAAGAATTTGAAGAAAGGACAGCTGAGTTTTCAAAAAAAGGAAGGTCCCCACGAAAGAAAGATAAAAAAGAAAGAAACAGAGAAATCATTGAGAGGTGGAAAAAGAAAGCGTCAAGAGAAAGAAAGGAAACGAACGAATCCTGAAAGAAAGAAAGAAAGAAAGAAAGAAAGAAAGAAAGAAAGAAAGAAGAAAAAATATAAAGAATTCAGAAGAAAGGACAGCAGAGTAGGAGAGCAGAAGGAATTCAAAAAAAGGAAGGTAGGAAGAACGAAAGAAAGATAAAAAAAGAAAGAAACAAAGAAATTCATTGTAATGAGAGGTGGAAAAAGTCAAGAGAAAGAAAGGAAACGAACGAATGAAAGAAAGAAAGAAAGAAAGAAAGAAAGAAAAGAAAGAAAAAAGAAGAAAAAATATAAAGAATTCAGAAGAAAGGACAGCTGAGTAGGAGAGCAGAAGGAATTCAAAAAAAAAGAAGGAAGAAAAAAAAGATAAAAAAAAAGAAACAAAAGAAAAATTGTAATGAGAGGTGGAAAAAGAAAGCGTCAAGAGAAAGAAAGGAAACGAACGAATTGAAGAAAAAAAGAAAGAAAGAAAGAAAGAAAAGAAAGAAAGAAGAAAAAATATAAAGAATTCAGAAGAAAGGACAGCTGAGTAGGAGAGCAGAAGGAATTCAAAAAAAGGAAGGTAGGAAGAACGAAAGAAAGAAAAAAAGAAAGAAACAAAGAAATTCATTGTAATGAGAAAAAAGAAAGGTCAAGAGAAAGAAAGGAAACGAACGAATGAAAAGAAAGAAAGAAAGAAAAAAGAAAGAAAGAAAGAAAAAAGAAAAAAGAAAAAAAAATATAAAGAATTCAAAGAAAGGACATTCAAAAAAAGAAGGTAGGAAGAACGAAAGAAAGATAAAAAAGAAAGAAACAAAGAAATTCATTGGAGAGGTGGAAAAAGAAAGGCGAGAAAGAAAGGAAAACGAACGAATGAAAGAAAGAAAAAAGAAAGAAAAAAAAAGAAAGAAAGAAAGAAGAAAAATATAAAGAATTCAGAAGAAAGGACATTCAGAAGGAATAAAAAAGGAAAAAGAACGAAAGAAAGATAAAAAAAGAAAGAAACAAAGAAATTCATTGTAATGAGAGGTGGAAAAAGAAAGCGTCAAGAGAAAGAAAGGAAACGAACGAATGAAAGAAAGAAAGAAAGAAAGAAAGAAAGAAAGAAAGAAAGAAAGAAAGAAAGAAGAAAAAATATAAAGAATTCAGAAGAAAGGACAGCTGAGTAGGAGAGCAGAAGGAATTCAAAAAAAGGAAGGTAGGAAGAACGAAAGAAAGATAAAAAAAGAAAGAAACAAAGAAATTCATTGTAATGAGAGGTGGAAAAAGAAAGCGTCAAGAGAAAGAAAGGAAACGAACGAATGAAAGAAAGAAAGAAAGAAAGAAAGAAAGAAAGAAAGAAAGAAAGAATTCAAATTGAGAAAGGCGGAGAAAAGAACGCGTTAAGAGGAAGAAAGGAAGAACAAACGAACGAATGAAACAAAGAAAACCAGCTTCAGAGAAAGAATAAAAGCAAGAAAAGAAAAAAAAAAAGAAAGAAAATAAATTCTAGGAACTAGGGAAGATAAAAAGAAAGAATGGATAAAAACAACAACAACAACAACAAAAAAAATTCGGAAGAAAAAAAGATTTCTTACAACAAACAGAAAAGAAGAACCAAAGTTAATCCTCCAAAATTAAAAAAAAAAATAATCTCAATGAAATAAAAGACATTGTGCCGAGTTAAAGTCGGTGGATATGAAAGAAACGAAACGTCCTCCATGATATAAAATAACGAAAACAAAATCAAGAGAATAAATGAATTGATTCGTAAGAAGACAAGCCCAACATTTCTGTATTGGTGAGCACAATAAGAGTTTATTTTCTTTCATTCCCATAAAACGTCACCATTGGCCACGTCCTTTTCCCAAGCCACAAACAAAAATCTCCAGCCTTTTTTAGGCGCAAACTTAAAAAACATGCATTTCAAGCATGCGCAGAAGCAATTTTATTATTTTTGCTTTCAAATCATTTCGCTCTTTTGCCAAAGAATGGCGCTATGTTGTGAAAATGTATATGAAACAATAAATTAACGAACAGTAAAAACAAAAGTCTTTGATATTTAAAGATGCATGTGTGTGATATATGCGAGTTTTAGCGCAAGCGTAGGATCACTGAAGATACGTTTGCCACTAATCTCAGTGGAATAAATATTTTTCTTACGAGATTTCAGGCTCTAAAGATTAATTGAATTTCCAAACATCGTCGCAAAAATATAAGATTTCTTTTCCCGCTTAGATTTACCTACGGTGGGATTAACCAAATTTTTCTGCCAGGGAATTGGTCCTAATATTATCTCGAATATTGAGCAATTTTACCGTTTAAATATGACAGGCTTTCAAACTAGAATATTATCATAAAAGAAAAACTAGAAAATAAACAGGCAATTGCTGATATCTCCTGACGAGTGGACGGGACGATTACTGGAGGGTCAGTCTACGAAACTCTAGAGTCGGGATGTTGAGAGTAACATCAATCAACTAAATGAAAAATTTATATCAGTAGTAATCATATATATATATAAATATATATATATATATATATATATATATATATATATATATATATATATAGTTTATGCAAATTTAGGTAATCCGTATGGGTAGACCTGAGGAGGATGATATCCAGAGAGCTCAATGTAAAATTCAGAGCAGATATGTTTGAATAAAAGACAGACCACGTTAAGATTCCATGTAATAAGTTATTTCACCATAACCCTTTTACAGGGTTCTGGATCATCAGACTTTACTTCCAAAAGCTGAAATGAAAAAATGAAAAGAAATTCACACGTTTTGACGGACCTCATCAAGTATACGCAAAGTTAACGAAGTGAGGGAAGTGAAGTGGGAGAGAGGATATGAGTGTGTCATATGTATCATTTTAGTTTCTTATTTTAACCCCAGTGTGTCGGCTGGATGTTGCTCAAATCTAACGCGTCTCGTCTCTAGATAAAGGTGGTTAAGGGGTGAGCGATAAGGAAGACGTTACAACAACCCCAATAAATTACACGACAGGTTTCATTCAAATTCTTAGACGCTGTCAGTTCGCGTTAGTTTAACGTGCATATTTGGGAGGTTAAGGTTTGATAAATATCTAAATTTTCAAACAATCTACGAAGAAATTAATTTGAAATTCGGTGGAGGTTTTGGGTATTTTCTATCAAGCAGTCGATTGGAAAAGATCCATAGACAGAACATTGAAAGAGTAATCCCATTTATATTTAGTACTTTTTCCACTAAAACTTTTATCTTATAGCTTGTTAGGTTGACATTTATTCGTTTGATTTTTGTTCATTAAGGAAACTCGTGATTGTTTTGGATTTTTGTTCATTAAGTAAACTCGTGATTGTTTTTGATTTTTGTTCATTAAGTAAACTCGTGGTTGTTTTTATGTATCCAATTATCAACAGTTATTCCCATTTAAATAATTTTATTTTCCACATTGGGGTAGTATCTTTCAATCTCAATTAAAATACTAATCTTAAACTCTCCCTATATATATATATATATATATATATATATATATATATATAGAGAGAGAGAGAGATAGATAGATAGATAGATATAGATTCTCTCTAACTGTTTCTTCTTCTCTCTAACTAATCGGTTGTAGGACGCTTTTTCGGCTTCTTGCTTCCCAGTCAAAAATTTAAATGCAATGCCAATCGATATATTCTGTTTTATTAACCCATTACCTGCCATGAGCCCCATTTGGGGATCTGTTAAAATTAAACTCACTACATGCTAATCCTTGTATTTACATTGAATTGCTTACATACATTGCATTCGCAGAGATATATTATACAACACTTAGCCTTTAAAGTTTTTATTATTAGCCGTAAGAAGACACTTTCTGTCGTAATTTTACATTTCACGAGTAGAAAAATCAAGACTATTTTGAAAAATTTTTTTATTATTTTTAATCAATATTATTTGTTGATGTTTTATACATACATACATATATATATATATATATATATATATATATATATATATATATATATTTGATGTTCTAGTTTCTATAAAAATGACAATGGTAACTACTGAAAATTAAACACCTGTCTGGGCCAAAAATACGCATTAAAAATTTTATGGGTTGATTCCTGTTCTCGCCTTAATAGTTTTTCTCATATTCTCTAACACTCAGTAACTCCTTGCGTCTTAGTGGCTTTATTGTCTTGCTTGGGATGAAATGGTTAAAAAGTTAAAAAAAAAATGAATTAATAAAATAATAAAATAAATGTCTTCTCTCGCATTTCGAGTCTATTCTAAATTTTACGGATTACATGCATATCACGTTGTAACATCGGTTCTCATAAAATCACCGAAGGTAAGTCAAGCCTGGTCAGTATCTAGATGGGTGACCGCTTGGGAATACTAGGTGCTGTAAAGCTTTGATGTGTGGGTGGTGTAATGGATAATGGATCAGAATTGTTAATCGGAGATCTGAGTTCGAATTCCCGTTTGTTTCCTTATAGTCACTACGCGCTTGGGGAACTCTCATCCGGGTTATTGCTTTCCAGTCAACATTAATTTATGAAAAAATTAAATTCAGTGTTCATCGTTTTCTTCTGTTTTCTTACTTTCTTCTATTTTATTGTTCTCTCTCCTTAATAAGCTTTTTCTTTTTCTCATATTCCACTTACGTCTTAGTTGCTTTATTTTCTTGTTTGGCCTGAAACGATTACAAAATATTTTTTCCAGTGTTAAGCATTAGAGAACAATAAAAGTCCCATTTTCGTTCGAGGAAATGCGTGATCAGATATTGTTCGTGATGTACGAAATAAAATGACAATTCCTGGTGGAGAATTACTGTCTCATCCGCCATATTGTCCACGTGATTTACTTTGAGATTATCTTCTCTTGATTTTAGATAATCACAAAAAAAAATATTAAAAATCACGCAAATTAGAGATTCACAAAGGGTACGTTATGAACTTGTCGAAAATAAAATCAAAAAGATAAAATAAAATTTAAAAAAAAAATCATACAAATTATCTGGTTATATAATTGATTTTAAATGAAAACCTTGTTTTGAATGTAAAAAAAAAAGCTTCCAGACGGAACCAATCGATAAAAAAAATCAAAGGAATCACATTCTCTACTAACAACTGTTCATGTATTGAAATATATTTTACTTTTTTTTCCATCTCTGATCTTATTGAAACATGTGTTCTTTTTTTCATCTATATAAGTAATGAAACAAACAAAATAATTCCGAGCAGAAGAACCCCCTCCCACAACAAAAAAACTTACCTAATAAATAAAATATTCAGGTTAATCAAGTTGAGGTATATAAAAAATGGTATCTTTTGTGTCTACAAAAATAGAGAAAGACAGATTCAAGCTGTTGGTATTAATCAGCTTGATGAAATAATGCCTTTAATAAGAACATTTTCTCTAAGAGGACCTGGCTGTCTGTCGTTAAAGAATTTAACCAGAAGACTGACAAAAAAGGGAAATATTAAATGAAAACTCTCTCTCTCTCTCTCTCTCTCTCTCTCTCTCTATATATATATATATATATATATATATATATATATATATATATGAATAAATATAGTCTTAAGATGTGCTATATTTATGGGATAAAGTGCTCAATATCAGAGATAGAGCGTGTGTAAATATAAAAGTGAACATTGAAGTCAACACTTAGAGGCGACAATCCGTTTCATGCTAGACGCATGGCCAAATGATTGCGTCTAGCATGAAACAGACTGTCGCCTCTAAGTGTTGACTTCAATGTTCACTTATATATATATATATATATATATATATATATATATATATATATGTGTGTGTGTATGTGTGTGTAAAAGAACTGGGCTCAGTACAAGAGTAGAGCAATAAATATTTATTATACACTGTTACATTAGGACATGTAAGTTATTCCTACAAAATAGTATACTTTGTTTCGACGTTTAATAAACAACATCTCATCAGGTAGTAAACAGTGTATTCTGTTAGCCATTA